CTGTGAGTAATTACTGTGAATAAAGTGTGGCTAACAGTAAGCTTGTGTTGGCGTTACTCACCGAACGGAGGGGGGTCAGAACAGTTTTGTAACCTATTCTCATCAGAAAGACGCCCTCCACCAATCTATCAACTTTTAATGACCCCATAATCCATTGCGGGGTGGAGTCTAGGCAACTGAATGGAGCTAGCAAAGTGTTTAATGGTCAGATGCTCTTCCTGTCACCAATGCAGAGTTTTGTTCAGAAGACATATTCTCAGATATATTCTGTGCCCAGAGAGAAAAATATTTGCCTCTACCTAGGATTGAACTCACAGCCTCCTGATTGTGAGGCAAGGGCTCCATTTCTAGGCCACCACACCACTCCTGTCTTCTACCAGTGTATGGCTTGGTGATTTAAGAGAACATTCTCTTTAGTGCATATTTAGACTCCGGATAAAATAAGTGCTGTGGCTCTTTTAAGCCACAAGATTTGGCACTCCATTGCTACCTTAGAGGTCGTAGCTGCACCTCGCCGATGTCCGGTATAAACCGTCACTAGATAACGATATTGAGCAAAAGGATCATTGTCTTCCAGGAGAGTTATCTTCACCTAGAGAGAAGTAATGCAACATCAGGAACAACCAGGAGATGAATAGAAATATGTAAATAAAGAAGGGAAGATTTCTTGCTGGATCAATGTCAGCAGGTTTTAAAAATGTATATTGTCCAAGATCTATACAACTGAAAAGAGGACAATCTTCCATGGTGGCTTCTTGGATGAGAAGCGAAACGTCTTCAAAAGGAAAAAAAACAAGAAAGTCTAGTTGCCTCCTGAAAAGGCGCCTTTGGGACAACCATGACCTGGATGACTCCATAGCCATATCTCCATAGACTTCATGAATGGTAAATAGGCCATGATGGTAACCATCTTGCAGATTCCATAATGGCTCAACCTCTCTTTACAATCAAAAGGGAATTCTTTGTATTGCAAAAGAAACAAAAGCTAGGAAGACACTATCTACAACTTACTTTGGCATCATGTTGGATGTCTTTTCTTCTGGCCCAGATCAGAACCAGAAGGTAGATCAGGAAGATGCAGCCTACCGTCGTCACCACGATGGGGTTGTCCACAAAAGTGGCAAACAGCTCCACAGTTTTGCTGACATCGATGGTGTTTGGCATGACAAAGAAGGAGCTAGCAAAGAAGGTCAGGTGGTTACAGAGACACTGAGTATCCCCAGGAGTAGTTTTGGGACCAACCTAGAAGCCAAAGAAGAGGTGTCATTTTGATCGCTATCTCTGTCTCATCTGTACAGTCACAGACTTCACGTAGATGTTTGGGGTCTTTGTTTCCATATCTGTCAGTGTGGTAGGTGAAGTGCCCATCTGGAAGAAAGGGTTGGATCTGAGCCAAGGTCATAGATGGATTTTAGGGAAGGCTGATAGTTCAAATCAAAAAGTACATGAGGAGAAAAGGAGAAGAAGCTAGAATGCTCTGTAACAGAGGTAGTATTCTTGCTGGTTCGCCCCTGTTCAGGTGAACCAGTAGCAGCTGTGGTGGGAGGCTCCGCCCACCTGCCCAGACATCATCAAGGACGCTCTGCGTATGCGCAGAAGCTCCATGGGTGAACAAAGCGAGCACGCATGCGTGTGCTCTCCCAGTTCTAAACCAGTTGCAAAAATAAAAGGAAAGCATTACTGTTCTGTAAAGTGGCGCATACATTTTCATAGATATAAAATATAAAAATAGAAAGAAAAAGCAGAGAAGAAAGGATTTTTCAGATGCTGCAGGATATGTTTTATGTGGAATGGTATGGAGGAAGGTCCCAGCCTGTCATGCCTAGAGAGTCCCAAGCTGGAATGTGAAGAAAGATCAAGATAAAAAGTCTTGTGAACATCTGGAAAGGCCAGGAGTGTGTTGTGTGTATGGAGATTTTGGAACATTATGCATTGAAGGCCTTGTTTGGCAGCAAGGGCTACTGGGGGAAAGAACTCAGAGGCATTCCAGTAATAGTAATTGAGATAAGGAGCAGGCGATGAAGCCATAATCAATTGCTTATTATGCGGGGAAAGAGACATTAGGTGGAGAAACGTTAATTAGGTTTTGATTTCACACAATCATAGGGCTAGAAGGGATCTTGGTGGTGTTCTAGTCCAACTCCCTGCCCAAGGGAGGAGTCTTTTTCATTCTTTCATTTTCTTGCTTTTGTTTTCTATTATAGAAAGCAGGCAGAACTGGAGGCGTCATCAGTTTAGAATCCTTGCATTGCCACAAGAGACTCAAGTCCAGCTCTCCTTGAATTCAGTTGGCCCTTATCTAGCACCAAGGTAGTGCTGACCATTTGTTGACTAGATTTTTGTGTTTAGGCTAGAGCAATAAATCTTTCTGAGCTACAATTCACCTTATGGTCCTGATCCTTTGTGTCTGACAATAAAGAGCTACACACGTTTATCTTTTAGGCAAGAGAAACAGTTCACTTTCAATAACATCTTCATTTAAAATCAGGTTGTTTACTTTTGACTGAGAGGGAACTAAGTTGTTCATAGCCTGCATTCTCCAGAAACATTAGCAATATAACTCTCAGCATTCAAAACTTGCAGTCCCAGTAGATCTAAAAAGTCTCACAGCAGGCAAAAATATGTATTCCAATATTTCTACTTCTCTCTACTTACGCGGCATCCGTAGCTATTCCAACTCTTTTGGTGCTCATCCCAGAATACACACTTGGACACAAAGCAAGTGATGGAGATGTTCATTTCATTAGAAGCAAGGAAGTCCAGTTCTGTGTCTGGTCTCACTACAAAATAATACATTCCTTCTCCAAAGATCAAATCTTCTGAATGAAGCACCCAGGAATAAACCTCATCTGAGTTGCCAAAAACAAACAAAACAAAAACCATTTGTTAGTTGTGTTTTTTCCACAAATTCAGATTCATTAAATATCATTATGGCCACACAACAATGAAAAAATAATTGACACTCGTTACAAAATAATTTACCAGTTTTTGGATTCTAAAGAGATCAAATCTGAGGTAGGTAGGTAGGTAGGTAGGTAGGTAGGTA